ATGTGTAGTTATTTATTGTTAAAGTATGCAATTCCATTACATAAATGCACATCATTCATGGCATGTATTACCTTGATTTATGAGGTCATGCATTTACACTAAAATGCATATGCATGCCAAAATCATGGAAAGGTTTAATATCATGAAAAAGATTTTTTATCATGATTTTTCAAAGGCATAGGAAAAGGGTTTTCATGGTTACAAGGCTTTCATGAGTCAAGCATGAGCGGACGTGTACATTTAGATGATTGACGGAAGATCGAGCATGTATAGACATGTACATACAAACGCTTGGTAGAAGACCGAACATGTACAAAAGTATACATTTAGATGCTTAGCGAGGTGCGTCCAAAGACAGAAAAGATTTTTTACAAACATCATAGAAAAGATTTCATGGCATTGACAAGGAATTTCAAGAAAGACATGAAAAGGATTTTCAAAGTGTATTTACTCGCAAAAGTACATTTCACTTGCATATGTATATGGCATGCATGATTAACTTATCGGGCAACGACTTGTCCAATTCTTGTGATGTAGGGTGAAGAATTTATAGTGATGGTCATGTTTGCTTCGGAACTTATTACCGATGGGACTTTTCCATCTTTCTAATGCGTGTATCTTACCTACGGTTGCAAGTCTGGACCTACTCCATGTTGTTGCACTAATAGTTCTTGGTATTTTGGTGTATATTTTAGGTATGACCACATTGTTTTATATGATAGTAAAAGTAATGAATAAGTAGATGGTTACCTAAAGAAAATGAAAAGTAGACTTATAAATAAATAAAACACTTTTGTATTAGGGGGTATTAGACTGATGGTCATGTAAAAACGAAAATAGGTTATACGTCAACCGATTTTAGACATGTAAAATATGTAATAGCATAGTAATGTGTAGTTGTAGTTTTATTTAGTTTATTCTTACATACTAATGTTCGATAATAATGATACAAGTAATTAAACTATTAAAAGATGATAATTAATAAAGTAGAAAGGATCGAATAACGGGTATCAATTAAATGAATTTATTTCGGCTTATAAAAAAGAATTTGACAAAACCGAGATATATGGATCCAGTTATTTCAGTCCACACTCGTTAAAATAAAACGTTAAAACGAAAAAATTTAATAGTGCATTTTGAGCTCGAAATTTGTAATGAAAGTTAGACCTATAGGTTATTCAATAGGCTCCATAGCATAAACCATACCTAATAACACCATAGGAAAGACATGGTGCCTCGTGTCTTACACTCGCCGTGAGGCACGACGGTAATATCATCAACCTATTTAGGTCCTATGTCTGGGGTGTTACACACTCCCCTAACAAGCTTAATACCACGATAGAAAATATTGCTTCTTTCACATCCATATATAGTTGGAGAAATCCCTAGCACACCTATATTAAGGCCAAAACTTTGAATACCTTTGTGATTAAAGCTAATTAGACATAAATCTACCACCACTTTAAGAAAACAAGTGATGAGACTTAAACCTCGAATTCTCTAAACTAAAATGGTCTTTTTTTATCACTTGATCCAACTTCTTTGAGAACTTGTGTTGTTTGAGATGAACTAATATATTATACACAAATGGGCATTATCCTCTTGTTGTATAACTTGAGAAATATATAGGTATATTTTTTTCATGCATAAGACATGTAGTACATAGCAAATATTTATGAGGTCAACTTTAATAGTTAGCGAAGTAAAGGAATTGATGAGGTCATAATTTTTAGATTAATACATTCATTATTGGATGGCTTCTAATCTAAGTTGATCGTGTGATTGATATAATTCATTGTGTAATGGATCGATGGCGAATACTCGTAAAACAAATCCTCCTCTAATGTTTCAAGAACTCTCTCGATGACTAAATTAGCATTCAAAGAGAGGTATTTGGCTTAAGTAGACTTAATATTTTTCTCTTATTAGAAAAAGGTATATGATACTATATCAGCTTTTAGAGTTTATGAGACGTAACTCGTAACCCACGAATGTTAACCTTTATATAATAAAGGAGACAATTAACTTGCATGAAGTGGATGATAAGATAGTCTTTTTCCTTATGTATAATGACTTTTGATATCTACTTGTAAGTTTTAGGTAAATGACTTAGATTAAATGCGCATTTGCAATCGAGTTTGATGATAACTCATGCCTTCATTACATGCATGTTCTTTTTATTTGATAAGTGGGAAAAAGAGTTGAGTCTAGGTTGCTTGATTTGGTTGGTCCGTCTACGGTTGTGTTATGAGTCGGGTGACCTTTAAATAGTATGTGAGACAGATTGTTGTGAGATTGATTACGCCGGTATATCAAGAATCATATTGCCAAAATAAAAATTAAATTAACCCTTACTACAAATTAAAATAATAAATTATTTTGAGCTTCTCTTACAATAAAATTTTTATAATTAGATAACATATCTATGTTGAATGAATAAACAATAAATAATTAATATATAAAGTTGAGAAATGATCATTTATTGTAAAATTTAAGTTTTTTAGATATAATTCAATTTTAACTATTAAATTTAATAAGTTATCAAATATCAAATAGTCTAGCTAGCAAAGATTCTTCGAAGTCCAAATCACTTGAACGATTCTAAAAGATAAGTTGCATGTGAAATAGAGTATTAAAAAACATTTCTCTTATTAAATAAATAATAAATTGTTAATGTATATAATTTTTTTTTAAAAAAAAACTCATATCATAAAACTTAATTTTTTTAAAGATAAAACTCTATCTTAACCATCAAATTTAACATATATATATATATATATATATATATATATATATATATATATATATATATATATATATATATATATAATTTAAATCCTTGTGGTTGCAAATATATATATAAAAAAACTCATTCTCATTAGTATGAATGATTCCGTAAGACATATCACAATAAATCACATCACGTCTATTAGAGAAATAAGCCCGTAACTTATAATACCTTCACAAGTACAGCTACAAAATGTAACAATTGATATGCCACTGGGATTATGGCATGAGAAGATTTGAACTTGAGTACTAACTAAGCGAAATGAACGCGTGGTATATACTGTAATCCAGCAAATCCCTCTTTCTTTCATATATATATATATCTTTGCCATTAAGTAGAATTTTCCGAAAAAAATATATATATATATATATATATATATATATATATATTAACATGTTTGTTTATAAAAACGTTACAAGAGGGCTCTCGCCTAATTTATTTATTCATAACATGTAATATTTTCAAGGAGTAAGTGGCTGGTTGCTTCCTTTTATGATTTATTGAGTTAAAATCTTAAAGTTGGAATTTAAGAAAATTTATTTTTTAAAGAGATATTAGTTCGATGTGAAAGTTGTTTTTTTTAAAAAAAAAAAATCGTACCAAGAAAAAAATGTAATGCTGATTCATATCAAGTTACTTTTGACCATCAAAGCATAAAAAAAATGGATACTACTATAAATTTAACTTGTCTCGAGTTAGTATTATATAAAAAATAGCTCGGTTATATATATATATATATATATAGAAAAAGAGATCATGCTAGCTTTTTCATATCAAGATCAAATTCATCTCTTTAATTCAATAAATCAATTAAGAATGTTTGCCTTGCCTATCATCTTTTGACAAATGAAAAATACTTTACGATATTCATCAAGTGATATGAGATAGCATTTATGTTTTTTTTTTAATTAAAGTAAATTCTTTACAAAACACTTCTATTTATAAAAATTTCACTAAAAAAGCTATTTAACTTATATGCACAGTGAGACCAAACATAGAATTTATAATTTTGAATTCTTAAAGAAAATTCTTTAGAAAACACTTCTATTTATAAAAATTAAAGTAAAAAAGGTATTTAACATGCATGCACGATGGGACCAAACATAGAATTTATTAGTTGAAAATATTTTTCTACAAATATTTTTTAAGTTGATTATAAAATATTTTATATTGATGAATTTTGTTACAATATAAGCGTTTCTTAATCATGGAAACGTTCTTCTAGTAGTATATGTTGTTTTGGTAATCAACATGATTTAGACAGACCAACATCACAACGAAAAAGAACAAAGAAATTGACCAACACTCAATTAATGCATAAATCTTTATTGAAAATCTAAAACACCCACTAATTAAGGTGATCATTAAAACTCGATTATTTTTCAAGTAGAATTTTGAATAAGGTGTATGTAATCATCTATTTAATTAACATTGATTATTATAACTAAGTTTTGAAAACATATGTTATGCCTCTATACCTTTAAATTATAATAAATTTACTGATGAGTTTTTAATTTAAGAATAGTGATTTTTTTAAATTTATAAGAAATTAAGAATGCAAAACTCTTTCTATAAAATATTTAAATTAAAAAAAAAATTGTTACAAGAAGAGGCTATACTAATCCTTCATTTATAAATTTTATAATGGTGTCTAATTTTAATAGACTTAGGCCCAAAATAAATTTCGATACAATACCAATTCAATCTATCAACTCTCCTCCCATGTTTTGTTTAGTAGTAATTATTATCGTTCACTATTTAACACCTAAATTCTAATTGTGGAATGCAGAGTTCTATTTTATGATTAAAAAAACAAAAGTTACGGCAAACTCATACATCATTCAACACAACATTAAATGCAGAATTTTATTTTATTTTTTCTTCATTTTTTTTTTTAATGGAAATGAAACCCCAGACCAATAAATGAACCAATTACCATTATGTTCCAAAAGTTGCCGGGTGTTAACTAGGAAATGCCAGCCTACGCCTCCCTAGGCAGTCATGGCAGGTAGGCAGGGGCCTCTCCTCTGGTGGTGGAGAGTGACTCACGCGTTGTCACCTGCAAAGTGAGCCTTATAATGACACGTAGAGTTTGCATTTCTAGCATTTAATGCATGATTATTAGATTAGAGCTAAAATTATAATAGTAAAACAATAGGGTCATAGTAATTAATTAAGCTCTTTATCGATATTAGTAAACAAGAAGTCAGACGGGGGCAGACCGTATACGGAAGAGGACCATACCATACGGCTTTGTCACGGACGGACACCACCCCATGAGTAAGTGGGACCCGCCTTTTTTTTTTTTTTTTTTTTTCAGCTCTAAACCGAATAACCAATAACGACACAGTCCTCTATCTTTCTCCCTTTCTGTTTTCTGTTTCGTAATAACTTGTAACGTCTCTGGTATGCGGACACACTCATGTAGTAACTTCCTTTCTTGTTTAAATTACTCACCTGCCCTTTCATATTTTTTTTTACCAAACTGACCCCTTTTTTTTTATTTTTTTTGGGAGAATTAGTACATGAATATGTTGCAGCAAAAATATCGATCTAGTCTCCTTATTTTTTGAGTTAATAAGTCGTCTGGTAAAACCAACCCTATTAGAGCTAGGATTATCAATGAATTGGATTTTTATTTTTTATCCGATCTTGAAAAATTTAATGATTTTTCCAAAAACAGTATTGGATGTTTTCAATAGATATTCAAAATTTCATCTCAAATTATCAAAAATTAAAATTTTAAGAGGGAGTGATAACTGGAGATGGACTAAATCTGTAAATAATAATAATAATAATAATAAATAATTTTGTTAAAAATCTAATTAACTTATGAAAAAGAATTGTTTAATGTGTTATTGCTAGTATTATATTTGTATTTCTAATTTATAAAATCTTTATCCATTCTAAAGTTTTGTTCATTTCAAGCTTGTTATTTGTAAAACATTAGGAATTGTTTTAATACCAAACAAGTTGTGCTTAGAGTAGATATTTTTATTATTTTTCTTTAAATTTGTAATACTTCTTGTCTCATTTAAATTAATTTTGACCCTTAATGTAAAAATTTATTGGGATTATTTAATTTTTCTTTTTTTAATGATGAGACATTTGAGTTTTTTTAATTTTCCTATTACATATTATCATAATATGTTTTCTTATACATGCAATAATTGAAACTTATTTTATATTAAAGTATCTTTGTTTGAAAAAAAAGATAAATTCTATATATATATATATATATATATATATATATATATTCTATTTGAAATCCATAAGAATTCGAATCTAGATAAAAAAAATTATGAAACTAGAATTTGAATTTATAAAATTCGATATAATTCATTTATTAAACAAATTGTATTTAAATCTATTATGATCCGATTCGAATCTCATCCGTTGACAATCATAATTTGAGGGTTAGCATGTAAGATGTGCAATGTTAATACTATACATATCAAATTCTCAATTTTTAAAACCAAAAGAATAACAAAATAATATTAAAAAGTTAAAGTAAAAACTGAATAAAATAAAAATTAAAAAAAAAAACACAGTGTACGCTATATATATTATAAGTGTAAACCCTAAACCATTCACATTTACCTATATAAGCACAATATAATTTTATTTTATTTTATTCATTTTTCTACTTTTTTTTTTATTAACCTATCATTCTCTCTCTCTCTCTCTTTCTCAATTATTCAAAAGTGTTCGTATGTTAATAATCACTCAATGTCTGAAAATTTAGCTTAATTGGGCTATTAGTTAGTTGTCTTTCAATTGCTGTGTTAATTGAATATAACATGGACAACCAATTTTCGCATGGAATGCAAATTAGATCCATATACCGAATGAACAATATAAAGTAAATTGAATTAGACGGCTTCGATACCCATAAAAGCGAAAAGATTCTTCAAATGTTAGATGGACTAGAGGTGTATCATGATATAATCAAGATTTAGAAGGTTTCTTAGAGTTTAATTTTTGGGATAAAGATTGCTCCGTCTCATTGTTTATTAAATTGAAAGAGACCGGCTGATTTTGTGAGTTGCTAACACCTTGGGGGAGAGATTTTCTATTTTTTTTTTTTTAATTTTATTTTGGTCAATGTAAAAGTTAAGTGAGATCATTCATCTACCATGTGGGTTCAATTTTCACCTTACATACAAACTGTGTCTATATGCTTGATCAATATTGTAATTAATTTAGTTTTCGTATCAATTAAAACTAACTCTATCATTTTTTAGATTAAGTTAATATCGGATACTATCTAACCTTTGATTGATTTCAAAGACTAGACTTTTTAAGGCCATTGACAGTTTATATCTAGTGCCACATAGAGAAGAATAATTATTTTTTAAATTCATTAGCAACTTATTTCTTTTATAAAAATAATTTAATATATTGATAAATATCATATCAATTTGTTCAATATTATACATAAATGAATTATTAAAATGACAATAATATAACAAACATTTTAGTATTAAGAATATATTAAATAACATTTTTTTGAATAGTTACTTACTAACTTATATCAATTATTTATACATATATATTTTTTATTAACTAAAAATTCACAGCATATTATTAAAAAAATTAATAAAAACAATATAATAGGCTTTTTAGCATTAATGACATAGTGAAAATCCAACCAATTATATAAGGACATAATACTAACTTAATATTTTAAACTCCAAAAGGTATTTTTATCTAAATAAAAGTCATGTGATATTTTTATGTGATTTGATCGAATAAATTGATTGAAAAAACAGATTGGAAATCAATTCAAATAATAAGGGCAAAATAAAAACGTTTTATGATATAAGGACAAATTAAAATTTTGGCTTAAACGTAGAGATATTAACCCTTAAATTATCCCATACTTTACTGACCTGAATATGTTGATGTCACTGATACCGTTGATGTCGACTGATACCGTATAATTATATGAATACCTAGTTTACCATATGGTAATAAAACGATCAAAGATTTGAAAGAAAACTAGAATAAAGTTCATTTATCAATTTTTCTTTTTGAAAAAAATAATGATAGTTATGGATTAACTAAGGATTTAAATTTTAAACTAAACAACTCCTAAATCTCAATCTCTAAATTCAATTTTTATATGTTTTTATTAACCACGATACTTGCAACAAATCCTCTCCTGTTTTCCTCATCTCACTGAAAGGACGATAGGGCGCCCAGCAGCAGGGATTAAGAGAAGGGAGAGGCTTTTGTGCTCAAACATGGCATGGCAGACACAAGCACAAGCGCAAAATGGCATGGTGGATATTAAGCCATAAAAGCAAGGACAAATTGACAAAAGAGATGGGCAAAGGTCATTATCATGAAGACCCGGTTTGTCTCCTCAGAAGTGGATCTTCGCACGTTATGATTGCCACACACTTTTAATGCTCTTCCTCTTCCTCCTCTAGTATAGAGAGAGTGAGTGAAGTTTGTGTTTTTCTCTTTTTTTTCTTTCTTTCTTTTTTTCAAGAATATAAAATTTTGAGAGACGGAGAGAGAACCGCCAGCGCTTGGCTTATGCTTTCACTGCACACTAAAAACAAATACAATAACAGTATTTACACCAACCCAACCGACTCCCTCTCTCTCTCTTCTTTAATCACATCCAGCTTCTCTCTAGAAGTTGATTCTGGGTTCCTTCTGACTCTGTCTATGGAGCCACCATTTGCTTGTAGTTTAAAAAGATAAGAAAAATCATCCTTTTTTAGCTTTGTTTTTTTATACAAAACTGTGGTCTTTTTATTCATTCTGTCTCTTTTGTTTGATTTTCAGCTAAAGCTTTGAGATTTGCAGAAGGGTCAGTTTTTTATCTAGGGAATGAACATTTTTTGTAGGGAAAGAAGTGAACTATTTGGATTTTTTTTGCAGCTTAAGTTTTGATATGAAACAAACATTTGTTTTTCTTGTTTCTATTTTTTCGTTTGAAGTACTGTAATTCAAGGTAAATGGTTGATTAAAGCAGTTTTTCTTCTTTTTGGGTTAGTTGTAAATTGTTTTCGTCAATGTCTGAATACGTGAATACTGAATGTTTTCGAAATGTGGTTGATTGAGAAACAGTTTCTATGCATGCAAGTTCAGATTTTTCCTTACCAGATCACATACAAATTGGGTTTCTAGTCTGAAGTTAGAGGCTTAATTTGTTGTTTCTGCGTTGGGCTCAAGAGGCTAAAGGGTTAATATCTGATGATTTTGTTAAAATTATGGTCAAATCCATGAAGAATCTTTACTGGTTTAAGCAAATATCTAACAGTGGCAAATCAGAGAGGAGGCTTTCTCTTGGAGAATATAAGAGAGCAGTTTCTTGGTCTAAGTATTTAGTGTCATCTGGGGCAGAGATTAAAGGAGAGGGAGAGGGAGAATGGAGTGCAGATATGTCCCAGTTGTTAATTGGTAACAAATTTGCATCAGGGAGGCATAGTAGGATTTATAGAGGGATATACAAGCAAAGAGATGTGGCAATCAAGCTTGTAAGTCAGCCTGAGGAGGATGAGAGCTTGGCTGCTATGCTTGAGAATCACTTCACTTCAGAGGTAGCTTTGCTGTTTCGATTAAGGCATCCTAATATCATCACTGTAAGCTCCTTGTTTCTTTAATTGCATGTGTTAATGTCCTGTGCTTTATATTATTAATACATGGACTTCCATATTCTTTTTGTTTTAATGTTTGGATTTCAAAAGGAATATGATGTTGATTACCATGAAACTAAATTCTTAACTTCTCATTTGTAAGCCACTTGTGATCTTATTGATATTTTTACTTTTTAACAAAGGGTGGAGGAAATGGCTTGTGATTTTGCTGCAGAACAATGAAAGTGATCCAACATGTAATGTTTCCTGGCTTGGTTTCCTGGAACCAATTTGGTAGACATTCAGTGAACTTTGCATATGAATCACATATTACCCATGTGCATTATTTATTACTCTTTCTCTTTTGCTTCCGTTGATAAGGAGGAGTCTAAAAACTCTATCTGTGGCCTTATAATTTCGTGCTTTACAAAACTGTGAACTTTGCTGCATGTGCTTGCAATCTTATAAGAGAACCCTTGGGATTTTTGGATTTAACATCACCAATATTTCTTCTGTTTCGAAATTATGACATTTAATGGTTATGTGCAGTCTGACGTATGGTTAAAATTGAATTCGACCAGCAATGAAAAATTGCAAATTGAAATTTCATCATGGACATGATTGTTAGCTAGTATTTATGACTGCAGTACTTCTCCTCTGCATTGAATATTTTTGACATTACGTCCTTTAGCCGTTAAAATTTTAGATTTAAATCACTAGTATTTATCTAGACTATTTCATTAGGAGACCCGTACCAGAGGTTGTAATGGGCATTGGCATCTTTATTATCTTTTCTACATTCATGAGGCTAGAGTACGGCAAATTTTAGCAGCACTGAAGAATGAAGATTGAAGGAGAGTAAAAACACTTTGCTTTCTTATTTAAATTTCTATATGGGAAGTCTTTTAGTGTGGCAAATGGACCAAAAATGCCATATATCCTCATCTCCTCAGGTTTAGTAACTCTTATATATTTGGAAAATTAGCATGTTAATGCAATTCCTAGACTCTTGGGAATGTTTTTCTCTGTACAGATTAGCCTATTTAATTTTACGTCTAGACCGCTTACATGTTGGAGTGAATTGAATCTCTGACCTTATTGGTATTGCAGAATCTAAATAGTTGAATCAAATGACAAATTTTGCAAATTGTTCATTTTTGTTTATTACAAGTCACTCTGTCTTCTTGACTTTTTTCATTCAGTTTGTTGCAGCTTGTAAGAAACCTCCTGTATTTTGCATAATCACTGAGTATTTGGCTGGGGGCTCATTGAGAAAATTTCTCCATCAGCAAGAGCCATATTCAGTTCCTCTCAATCTAGTTCTGAAATTAGCTCTTGACATTGCACACGGGATGCAATATCTCCATTCTCAAGGGGTACTTCACAGAGATCTCAAATCTGAAAATTTGCTGCTTGGAGAAGATATGTCCGTCAAAGTTGCTGATTTTGGTATTTCCTGCTTGGAATCTCAATGTGGTAGTGCAAAGGGATTCACAGGTACATATCGTTGGATGGCTCCTGAAATGATCAAAGAAAAACACCACACAAAGAAAGTTGATGTCTACAGTTTTGGCATAGTCCTTTGGGAGATCCTAACAGCAATGACACCATTTGACAACATGACTCCAGAACAGGCTGCATTTGCAGTCTGCCAAAAGGTAAACTAAAACTGATTCATATAGTGGTATGAATCTAAAAATTTTAAGGTTTTTCTTATTCTCCATTCGCATGTGAATTGCAACTGACATGTCCTGTTATGTATCATCAGTTAGACATTTCAATGCTAAACCGTGGTTGTTTCCAAAATCTTGAATGGATTGCATTTTAATAATGATAAAAGAATTGAAAAGCTAGATCTGAAAGTTTAATGGAAGGCATAAAGGGGAAGAAAAAATTTAAATGAAGGAAACAACAAAGCCTGCTCAGTAATGATGATTCATATAATAATTAGTTTTGTATTTTTATTATTTATTGATCATTAATAATTTTGCATTCTTAAATTTTCATGTATTTATTTTGGAAATTTTATTTTGGAAAGAACTTCAAATTTGTGCTATTTGAAGTTAGACAGATAGAGCATGGCTAGAAATGTTTTTAGGGTGTTTTCAAATTGATGGTAAATTTGCTTTGCATATTTTTCTTTAGAATTAATTCCTGGGAAAATGTTCCAGTTTTTGAATGAAAATAGTTCCCAGGACAAATATGTGCAGACTCCAGGGAGTTCAATATTTATTTGAGCTTTTAATTCTTGACGAAGTAAATAGAAGTCTATTAATAATATATCTGTGGAACAAATCTTTATCACGGCATGAATATTTTCACTGTCGGCAAAGGATAAGAAATATATTAGGACGCCAAAATTAGGGGTGGGAAGAAAATGGATGGAGTAATCAGGACAGCATAAATCGATTTGCAAGAATTTGATCAAAGTGTCTGTTAGAAGGTTCAAGAAAATTGAGAAATATTAGAGGCTAATGATTTATGAATTGAAAGTAAACATGGTTTCATTCACATTGAAGGGGTTATAAGATTCAAAGTAGAACTAGAAAGCAAGTGGGTCAAATTTTATGAAACAAGGAAAAAATGACCTGCAGTATACATGTAACAAGAATGAAGATGGAAGTTTTTATTGACCTCCAAACTAGTGGTTTACTACAGGCTTAAAGAGTTCATTTCGGTTTTTTTTTTTTTTTCCTGAGCTTCTACCACAACCGGCAATGTCCCTCTTCTCCCAAGAGGTCTCGAGTTAGAGCCTCTCCTTTGTTACCAAAAAAAGTAGAGTTCCTTTGAGTTTCATTAGAATCTCTCAGATCATCTGGATATTAAACCTCACTCATGCACAGGTTAATGATTCTTTAAGGACAAACTGTCAGGCAATAAGTCCTTCTGAATAACCTAAAAAATTAGGATTTAATGCGGCACTATCTGATACCTATCAGGTGTTGACTAGAGGAGAAAGAATTCAGAGATGTATTTCATTTTATGAATGAGGGTTCTGTCTTGAGGTCATTATCTTCTAGGTGAGACTGTTGGTAGAACACATTCTCACTCTTTTTGAACAAAGTTCCAAACCACATTCATTCAGCCAAATAGATCATCATGCACTGTGTTTAAATTCAATTGTGTCATTCCAAGAAAATTTTGAGGATGATGATACACAGATTACCATGACTGGTCTCAAGAATTTTTTTTTATCATCATATAGTTCCCAATTTTCTCTCATGCTAACATTTGTGGACAAGATGATGGTAATGATGATATGTCAGTAGCATGGGCCTGATATTTTAATATTAATGAGAAGGCTTGTCGTGTTTGTTGTAATGCTGATAGTGGCTACGGTTGTTGAGATCTGTGATGGGGCATATTCATTTGGCCCAGTTGATGCATTCAGCATCGTATAAAGGGAGCCTGGGTTTTCAGAGTTGTTAGTCTATCAATTTTTCTAGGCTGGCACTATGATGATAGATCTGGCATGGACATGGCAATGTCGTATATATTTTAAGCTTACAGGATAAGATGCAGATTATAATTTGCATAGAGTTATCGAAATATTTCATATAATTTGGATTATGGGAATAGATTATCTGGAGGAGGTGAAGAGAAATGCCTGTCATTCTAATACTAGTTCATATAACAACTCAATAGAAATTCCCAGGTCCTTATTCTTTTCTCCTATCCTCTAATATATGTTTTATCATCATCGAGGAGGACTATTTCATTTGCTATTTAGCTGGTGGTGGTAAGTCTTATTCTGGGATGTGGCCTTCAGTTTTATCTGACAAGAGATAGCAGTAGTTCGCCATGGAACGTTCTCGGATTTCACATTTTGAAATGCGATTTACAATAGGAACATTTAAGCTGCAAAGAAGATACACCAGTATTGCATATGATGGGAAATTGCAATACTAGTATTAGCTGATCAAATCAGTTGCAATTTTGAAACATTTGTAAGTTTTGGACTTCTAGATTCATCTACTGAGATGCATCTTGCTCTCATGGAGCAGTGTGATTACAATCGGTCACATGTGTCCATGCCTGTGTTGTAACCATTACAAGTGGGACCATGCTGTCTTTGCCATTCTTATGTGTGGTCTGTGCAATATATCTTCTTGAAACCTGAAGTATATGTAGCTAAATTTTATTTTAGAGCGTAGACAAACATACAGTATATCTAGCTAATATATCTTCCTGCAATCTTTTCTTCTTGAAAACTGAAGTACATCAACCATTGGCGGGAAGCTACATATCTTTCTGTAATTCTAAGTGCATTTGTGGACCATTGCCCTAGTGTTCAGCCTTCAGAGATTGCTGAAGAGTTCTTTGTTATTGGCTTCTTGTGGTTTCATGCAATTGCACTTGCAGGCCAAGAAAGGAAATAGGTTTATTTCGAGTGTGTTAAATCTTTCAAAATGATATATATATATATATATATATATATATATATTTTGGCCCTATGTAGTGCAACTGTACAATAGTTCATGTAAGTGCTCGTATTTGATATATCTTATGTGCTTTCTGCAGAATGCCAGACCACCATTGCCCACAAAATGCCCACTGGCTTTTAGACATCTCATTAGTCGATGTTGGTCGAGCAATCCAAAAAAACGACCACATTTTGACAAGATAGTTGGGATTTTGGAAAGTTATTCAGAGTCCCTCGAGCAGGATCCAGAATTTTTTACATCCTACAAACCTCCCACTAATACTATTTTGAGATGCTTCCCGAAATTTAGTCGTCGGTCTGGTTCTGGTTCTGGTTCTGTAAAAGCCTAGGAACTTTTATTAAATTATGTGTAATGCAATATGTACCATATTCTTTTCTTTTCTAGGTTTTTATGTTGAGTTATTGTTAGGAGCTCATGTTTGGCCTTATCTTTAGTTCTCCTTGTGCATCAAATATGTTGGAACAAAAGCAGTTCCTTTGATTGATATTTTGATGCTCATGTACCACATTTTTCTATTTAACTAGTTTCCGTTAAAATTCTCCCAAAAAGATGTTTATAAAACCTTACTGTGATTGTTCACAATTCCTCATATTTCCCTCAGATGTGAGAATTGAAACCTAGACTCAAGTCTTCAGAGTTTTTGTAATCGGTCTTCCCATTGCTGCAAGGAACATTATCATATTCACCTTTAGTTTTATATTTGTTCCACAAAAATAAATAAATAAACTACTATCACTATCTGTATATTTCACTTAGCATTTCATCAAAATCTCAGAATTTTGTAAATGAAATCCTTCCATGGTCCACAACGCAGAGAGATTAGACGCACTCGAAGGAAGCCTACTTAATATTTTTATTATGCATCTTGTTTGTATGTTAAATTTATGTTTTATTTAATATAATTTGTCACCGAAGACAACAGCTGACAGTTTGGCCGAGTGGTCTAAGGCGCCAGATTTAGGCTCTGGTCCGAAAGGGCGTGGGTTCAAATCCCACAGCTGTCAAACGGTGATTATATGTTTTCATTTTTACTAAAATGACAATGCCTGGGGTTTATTTTCATTTGATGCATAACTGTAACTTCAATAAACAGTATGAATTTTTTTAATAAAAATATGAATGGTTGTCTGAAAAACACACAATTCATATATATATAAAGATTCAAAGGAATCCTCTATAACTGAATTATAACTTTTAAGTCGATATTCCTTTGTTTACACCTCAATTTAATTTTGGATTCAGATCCAATCAATATTTATTGGATTGGAGTAAGTGAGTTATTCTAAAACATGCTGATTAAACCCAACTTGATGGAGAATCTAAATCACAAGTCTAAAAAAATATAGATACTTGAGTTGTAGTTGTTGAAGAATAATATAAATCATATAATAAAATTTCACCTAACAACTTAAACTTTTAGATATGATATCTTCTTGACATAATAGTAAAATCTTACTAACCTAATAATTAAAAGTTTAATCTTACTATTTTCATTTTTTCTTTCAGATCATGTTCATCGTTGCTTTTTTGGGACTTTCCCACGTATGTGCAATTTACATTCTTTTTGTTTCTTTTTTTCAACTTTTATTCATTGTTTCAATCGGTTCTTGATCTTTAGTGGTCTTAAAGGGAGTTTATCCCTTCATTTGATAGGCGAGAAATCGTTAATTGTCGCTTCTATATCCATATCTAATACATTTTTTCTTAAAAGAGTTTTTTTTTTTTTGGCACTATCTCACATGAATTTGATATTCTTGATCAACTTGTGTGGTTTTTACTGCAGAGAATATTATTCAAGTTAGATAATATTGTTGTTCTTTTAGTGTATGCTCAATTGGTTGATTTGTTTCGCTAGTGCACAACACAGTCAAACATCGGATTTCTTCTTATCTTTGAGATTTGTTGCAATAAATCCTCTGCATACTCAAAATCTTCGAGTCAAACATCGGATTTCTTTGTATCTTTGAGGTTTGTTGCAATTACTCCTCTATATACTCAAAATCTTCGAGGATTGAAGCGTTGGAGGCAAATAAAATCTTAAGGAAAGTGGCTTAGCAACACGCTTGAAAGCTTCTAGAATTTGGGAAGTGGTGGTAAGAAAGGGATATTTGTATGAGGGCATTTTCAAGTGCAATGCTATTAATAACAATAAGACCTCTATTTCTATTCATATTGTCAATTCTTTTTCTTGTTTATGGCATAATCATTTAAGGACATACTAACTCAATAAAATGCATGTAAGGTTAAATTAGAACGCATTTCTAATGTTGAAAACGATTTGATTAGTGTAGAGCTTGCATACTTAAAATCACAACTTCAATTCCTAAAGTGGAAAGAAGTACTAAGTTACTTGAATTGATTTACCATCTTGTGCTTGTGGATTGGTGAAAAAATCCAGACGAATGACGATATTATGAGTGTTGTGGCTTTTTTTTCCTTACATAAGATATCACATTGTTATATTAAATGAAAGATAAAAGCATTTCTAAATAGCATTGTGAATTAAGAAAAGATTGCAACTAGCACTAAGGGCTGTTAGGGGAATTCGAGAGGATTTGAAAGATAGAGATTGTTATCCTAAAGAAATTAATCAACTCTTGAGAAAAAATAAGCTTAGATTGGGAGAGATAGAACAATCAATAAATAAGTATATTTTAATTGCCTCTTAAAATCTACGAACTAGTAGGATTGATTAAGATCTTGATAATTAAATGAGCAATCAAATTAGAGAATATTTGAGAAATTAAATTATAGTATTAAGTAAGATCCAACAAGATGTTTGGAAATCTTTAGAAATATTAAATTCTAAGGTGAAAAGATTAAGTAGACATCGGGATGAGTGTGGAGCTGTAATATCTATCGCTGATCAAATTTGGGAAGATCTAATAGATAGATGTGTTTTTCTTAAAGAAATAAATAGAATCCATGAATTCCATAGGGTGTTGTTGAAAGTGACTGAAGAAAAATTGTTCTATTGCGTATATGGAGATATCCAGTCAAAACCTTAGAATCTTAAGGATTTCTTAACTTCTGAAAATAAGAGGACCATTCCAGAAGTTTTATTAGGAAATATATATAATGAAGGGAGCCAGCCTTTTTTATTTTTATTTAAAAAAAAACAATTATACTAAAGGAACAACATGTAAAATCCCAGAAAAAAATGGAAATCTTTAACGTATGAAATAGAAAAATTAGTAAATAAAAGATTAGACGCATATGAGCGTGAGTTAAGGCTAAAGAAGTATGTTTCTTATGACACGATGATCTCTCGTTGATCAATAAAAAACTAAAAATAAGTGTGTATGTGTGGAGTCGTCATTCAATTTTCAAAAGGTAAAAATTAAGAAAAATCTAGTATTGGTCTCAAGAGTTATAAGTGAGGAGATTGATTACACAAGTAGAAAAGACTACAAGTCATGTTAGTGTGCTCTCGCATGAGATTATTTTGTATTTCTAATTTAGGAGAATTCATTCATGCAAATTATATTTTCTATCTTGATTTGCATGCTCAATTATTTGAGCATTTTCTAATCAAGTCCTAAGGGAGTTGATTTGGAGGATTGAAAAAGAACTTAAGTCTCTCATCTAATATGTCATTGGGCCGGGGAGCCCTTTGAGAAGGAAAAAATTAGAACTAAAAACCCGTTACACATTAAATCCTAGTCCCACAAAAATACAAAACAATAAAAATAAAATGAACATGGACCCAAGCCCAAATTCACGTGCCAAACCATATATATATATATATATAATACAATTACAAGTCCGTAATAACTAAAAAAAAATAAAAAACAAACATAAGCCTTAAGCCCATATCACCTTGCTATGTCATTTTAAAATATTAAATTGTCTCAAAACCTAAATTCGAAGCTAAATATGCAAGAAAAAAATTAGTAGCACTAAAAAAAAAATTTAAATTAACTACAAAAAATAACAATAAAAATAAAAATAAAATAAACTATAAAAAAGGCTCGTTATTGAAACAAAGTTGGTCCGAAGTCTTAAGCGTTCTCCTTCTAGACCAATGTAGACCGATACCACATAATATAAACACCAAAAGTGCAAGTCATAAAAACATGCTAAAAAAAACACAAATAACATAAATATTACTTCATAAAAAATAAAATAGCCAATAGGCCTCCACAAGGTACTTGGCCTATAAATTCAAATTTGGTTTATTTTAATTTTCTAAAAAAGAATTACTAGACTATTGCTAGGTTCATCATTGATCGACAACTTCTTAAGAACTTGTTATATAAAAAATAAAAATGCTATATGATATAGCAAAAAACCCCTTTTATTGAAAATAATGATAAAAAATAAAAATAATAATAAACCTACAATAAGACAAGATTAAAAAAAAAAATTCCGATCCACTATTCTTAATCCGATATTAAAACAAATAACACACCAAAATAATCCGAAATTAGATCCGACCCAGTATTCAAGTTTACGGATCTATCAATTACACCCCTAATCAAACATTTTACATTTAATAATCATACCAATATTTATCATCAATCACATAATTAACTTACCAACCTATGAAACATAGAAACAACCAAGCAAAATCATGAAATTCGGATGAAAATCAAATTAGAAAAGTCAAAGTTCAAGGGTGCAATTACCTACATTCGAAATTCAAGGACTAAATTGGATTTAAAGTTTACCACCGAAGATGAAACTTTGAATGGTGAGTGTGGCTTCCTTGGTGATCGAATTCGGTGATTCTAGTGGGGTTGGAACCGTCTTGGACAAATGCTTATTCCGGTATAGTGCATATAGATTGGCAACAAACAGTGCGATGAATGGTAGCTAGATCTCTCTCATTGTTGTTTTGTCTTTTGTGTCTAAAATTCACCATTGACCATGAAAGTTTGAACGACGAGTGTAGCTTCCTCGATGATCGAATTGAGCGAATCTTATGGGATTGGAATTGTCTTAGATAGAAGCTTCTCTAGTCTAGCATGTGTAGATTTCTAACTAATAGGCAAGGAGCGATAGCCGGATCTTTATAGCAACTCGTTTTATCTCTTTTCTTTTTTTTTTTTGCTATTAGGGTTTCTTTTTTCATTTTTATGGGTTTAATGGTAATTTTTGCCCCCAATCTATTGCGATTTGATAATTTTGAGCCCATAGTATTAAACTACATAATTTGGATCTCAAAGCATTAGAGATTGGGCAAAATTGATCTAATTTTTTCAATTGGTGTTAAATATAATAGTCAATATAACGTACTATTAAATTTTTTTTTAAGCATTAGATTTTGGATGTCCGCAACAAAGCTCCCTCCCTAGGTATCGTCGTCATTAATAAAAAAGTGTTTGA